CTTTCTTTCTTTCTTTCTTTCTTTCTTTCTGTCTCTCTCTTTTTCTCTTTCTTTCTTTTCCTTTCTTTTTTAAGAGACAGGGTCTCACTTTGTTGCCCAGGTTGGAGTCCAGTGGCATGATGATAGCTCACTGCAGCCTCCAACTCCTGGGCTCAAGTGATTCTCCTGCCATAACCTTCCTAGTATCTAGGATTACAGGCACCTGCCACCATGCCTGTTTTGTTTTTTTTTTGTTTGTTTGTTTGTTTTTTTTAATTTTTGTAGAGATGGGATCTTGCTATGCTGTCCAGGCTGGCCCCAAACTCCTCACCTCTAGTGATCCTCCTGCTTTGGCCTCCCAAAATGCTGGTATTACAGGTGTGAGCCACTTTGCCTGGCCTCTGCTAACTTTTCTTATACTTTAGAAGTTGGGATACTTGAAAATGTGACTTTTTAAAACATTTAATTTAATTTTTTTATTTTTATGAAAAATTTTTTTATTTAAGGTGTGTAATGTGATGTTTTTGGTATCCATATACATAATATACTAAATACTACAGTCAAGCTAATTAACATGTCCATCTCTTCCCATAATTACTTTCATTTGTGTGTGTGGTAAGATCACTTAGAATCTACTCTCTTAGCAAACTTCAAGTATACAATACAGTATTATTAACTATAGCCCCCATGCTGGACATTAGATATCCAGAAATTACTCATCCTACTCATCTGAAATTTTCTACCCTTTGACTAACATTCCTGGTAACCACTATTCCACTCTCTGTTTCTATGATTTCAACTTTTCTACTTCCACATATAAGTGAAATCATATAGTATTTTTCTTTCTGTGTCTAGCTGATTTTACGTAGCATAATGTCCTCCAGGTTTATTTATGTTGTTGCCAATGGTAGGATTTTCTTCCTTCTTAAGATTAAATAGGGTTGGGTGAGGTGGCCCACGCCTGTAATCCCAGCATTTTGGGAGGCTGAGTTGGGGATTGCTTGAGCCAAGGAGTGCGAGGCTGCAGTGAGCTATGATCATGACACTGCACTTCAGCCTGGGCTACAGAATGAGACCATGTCTCCAAAAATATAAATAAATAAATAAATAAAATTTTAAAAAATAATTAAAAATTTTTGAAAAAGACTAAATACTATTCCATTGTGTGTGTGTATATATATGTGTGTGTGTGTGTAACTATTTATTCATTCATCTATCAACAAACACTTAGGTAGTTTCCTTATCTTAGCTATTGTGATTAGAGGTGCAATGAACATGGCTTTAATTAATCCAACTGTGGAGATTCTAAAGGAACCACCCTTATTTCAGTGAGAGGCTATAAATGCAGAAGCCACACTCTATTAAGGAATCTAAAGATCCTTGTGTGTGAGACTAAGAAATATTTTTTACAAATGGAGAAGATATGGTTTTAAGTTTTGTAGTCTTTAAGAATGTTGGCTTTTAATTTCTTTAGATTATAATATTAAAAGGGATTTGAATTTTGGACTTGATTGCTCTCTGGGAGTTTAATATTAGCACACAGTTCAAATTCAAGCTTGAGTTATTCTTATTGCGCGGACATTGTATTTTAGGTTTTATTGGTATTATTTGGGCATGGTGTATAACTTTTGATGAATTCTATTGGGCATCTTGGCCAGTGACAATCGGAGATAATATATAGAATAAGGAATAAATTTCAAGCCTAGAGTATTTACTTAATACTTAGGTAAATACTTGCCTAAGTATTAAGAGTTTTAAGTATTAGAGTTTTCCAGGGCAAAGATTAAACTGTACACCATGACCCAGACAGTATACACAAGAAAGAGGGGGTTGATATGGAGAGCGAAACCTCACAAAGGCAGGAGTAGGATTGCCCTAAGACTACCCAAGGAAACAGCCTAAGCCCTGGTAGACCACAGGTCTAATTACAACCTAATAGTTTAAGAAAACAGAATCTTGAGAGTGTTAGAGGAGACATTCTCTATTCTTCATGTTTTCAGAAAGGGAGAACATTTCCACTACCCTACTCAGCAAGGAAAAGTTGGGAAGAACATGCCTCTTTGCCCACCCTATCGTGTTTGTGTGATTGGGTTTCAAGGCTTAGAAACCTGTGGCTCAGTCCCTTCTGAGTTGTTGTTTTCCGGTGTCTACCTTTGTCCCTTCTTCCCTATTGAGCTTATGGAGGTTAGTGGTCAGGTTTACCTACTTCCTGGAGGCTGTTTAGAGCACTGACTTCTTTCCTGACTCCTGGAGCCTAATGGGTATGAGAGAGGGACTTTGGGTTAGAGAGGCTTCTCTGCAGACTGTCTCACTCCCTTGAAAAGAGTCCCCAAGGGCTAAACCTGGGAATTGAGAATTCCTTTGTGGCCGTGGGCCCAGATCCATAGTTTCAAAAATGGCTTTATTTGCCATCATGCTGATATTTTGATTTTCCCATTATCTGACTCCTTGGTTCCAAAGTTGAAGTGGTGGTGGTAATGGGAGAGATGAGATGAATTGTCACCTCTAAATTCTCAACAAGTATTAGCAAAAGAAACACTCACTGATTCAGCAGAAGTTTCCCCAGAATGATCTAACAAGCCCCCTTTCCCGGGCAAAGTGAGGATGGTTGGGGAAGAACAGAGTTGCAGAAGAGAGTGAGAGATCCTTAGAGAAAGAGATGGATTTTACCATGTCCCCTGGGGGTGGATTCTGTACAGACTAATAGATAACTCAATAAGAAAAGCCAAGAAACACTTTGGACCACAGTCTGGAGCAACGTGTTTTCTGTAGGTGTCTAATAATAACATTTTTTCCCTGATGATGTACTGTACCATCACAGCTTCCTAAATGTCATGGGAATTATTAAGGGGAGGCATACATATGAGACATTTAGGAAACATCTATTGAATACATAAATGACAGCAAGGATTTCTATCTCGAAGACTTAATAAGAGATCCAGCACACTGAAGGGACACTTTGAGGAAAAAGGGGCAAAACCAAAATCCTATCTCATCAATCTAAAAAAATTATACATGGGAGTCAAATAAGCACTTAGCAGAAATAAGCCAAGGTGGAAGGAAGTACCACCAATAGAAGATCATTGGAAAGCAAGCCAAAGGAACAACATAAATAAATACATAAAATATGTTCATGTATATGTATTATATAAATATATACATAATATTATATATAATGTCCCTCTTAAATAACTTGATATCTTCATATTAAATGACATCTCCATGTTAAAGCAATTTTTCTAAGTTGTTTCATCACAGTTTTAAACTAAGCCTGAGGAAAATACCCTAGAATGACCCTGCTGAAACTACAAATAAAGGAGAATTCAAAGTATTTCCTTTGTGTTAAATGGAAAATTGTTAGGGATGAAGATGCCAGATTGAAAGATGAAAAGAGAAAAAAACCTAATCAGGAAATGCAAAAGCTAAGGTTTTAGCAAATTAGCTCACCCTGATGACTCATCCCAGATGTATTAAGTTCACATTTAACAGCCTCTTCACTGAAGGTACTAAATACCATCTGTCTCTTGCCGATGAGTTCATGTTAGTCTTAAAGCCTTAAAGTTCACATTTCCTAATTCTTTTGTTTGGAAATAAATAACCTTTATGTTGCAGTGGGAATGTAATTTTTTTTTTTTTTGCTCAGTTGAGAGGAATAAATACAAAAATTTCAAAATGAAGCTCTCAGGTTGTGAAATGTTCTGTGGGTCAAAGAAGCCTGGCTCTGTGTACAAGCTGCCTCGCCTGGATCCGTCCCTGGGATTCTTTTTAGGATTATGTTACTTGCCTCTTTAGCCAAAGTTCAATTCTTCATTCAAGCTGGGCCCACATGCAAAGCTGAAATGGGAAATACCTGTCGGGCCTCAACCATGATTCTCAGAAAATGCCTCCCAGGGCAAAATAATAGCCCTTCCATTTATTCCAACCCTCTTTCCTCAACAACGTTTTTCTTTTTTAGTAGAAAAATGCTATTTGGCTTGTGCAACAATATTTGGCCTTGCACATTTTGGGCACTTCAAGTAGGAATAGGGAAATAATGAAGACAATTCACCGATAATCTTCTCTATGCAAATACAAGAAGAATCGTAAAAGGGAGAAAAAACTGGCTATGCTTTTGAGATCCCAGGGACCAAACTATATATCATAAACACTGGATCTAATCCCAAGATTTGGTTTCAGTTCCAGCCCAGTCACTAAGTCACCAGTGACCATGCGGAAATGACTTCATTCCCTGGGCCCCAGTTTTTCCTTCTTCAAGTGATGGGGTAGGACTGAAATTGTCTAAGGCAATATATAGATTGCATTGATGCAGAATGCTTGGCTTAAAAAAAAGAATTCTTTTTTCTTTTTTCACAGCCCCTCATGTTATTTGGTGAGCTTGGTGAGCTCAAGACAAACACTTCGAGAAATTTTGTGTTTTATTTTGTTCCAGGCTTTCTACACTTAAATTCTTTGCATTCCAGGCCTCCCCAAATTAAGTCTCAATGTAACTTTTCAATTTCTGCTTCCACTTTTTCCCTGCTCCTGGACTTTTACTTTCCTGCAAATGTGTCTTATATTTCTTCTCCTCCTTTGTTCATGCTATTCTCTCTACTATTCTTGCCTTCTACCTTTGCTTATCAAAATCCTACTTCAACTCGTAATCATGAGTGTATTTTTTCAATATATTTTTCCTGCTGTCCCCAGATTTTTCTTTCTTAGCAATTTAATGTATTAATATGCTTCTCCAACCCTGGGTTTCTTAACCTCAGCACAGCTGACATTTGAACCTGACACCTTTTGTTGGGGGGATTGTAGGGAGAGACTTGTCCTGTGCATTGCAGGACCTTTAGCAGCATTTCTGGCCTCTACCCATTAGATGCTAGTAGTACTTCCCTCTCCCTAGGCAGTGACGATTGAAAATGTCTCCAGAGATTGCCAAATGTCCCCTGATGGGGTAAAATCACCCTTGGTTGATATTCACTGCCACTCTAACCCTCTATTCTATCCATAGTACAAGTGAGTTCAAAGTCAGGCAGTCCTGAGTTTGAAACCTGGCTCCATCACTTGTTACTCTGTGACCTTGAGGAAGTTACTTAACTTTTCTGAGCTTTAGTTTTCTTTCTTTTCTTTTCTTTTTTTTTTTTTTTTTTTGAGTCCAAGTCTTGCTCTGTCGCCCAGGCTGGAGTGCAGTGGCACAATCTTGGCTCACTGCAAGCTCCGCCTCCCGGGTTCACGCCATTCTCCTGCCTCAGCCTCCGGAGTATCTGGGACTACAGGTGCCCGCCACCACGCCTGGCTAATTTTTTGTATTTTTAGTAGAGATGGGGTTTCACCGTGTTAGCCAGGATGGTCTCAATCTCCTGACCTTGTGATCCGCCTACCTCGGTCTCTCAAAGTGCTGGGATTACAGGCGTGAGCCACTGTGCCCAGCCCTAGAATAGTTTTCTTATGAACAACGTGAAGTCAACAGTTTCTGGCTAGCAGAATCGTTGTGTGGATATGAGTTTTAGAAGACATTCAGACATGGTTGGGATTGTTTGACGATCTTTGAGAAGTTGGTTGCAAACCTACTTCTCAAGGAAGGTCTTGAATGCTTAGCAACAAACACAACAAAATATTTGTGTAGGGACTACTATGTACCTGCCAATGCTCTCAGCACATTGTATACATTATATAAATTAAAGTAACTCGTAACAGAACAATGGCTGGAGAGTGAGGAGTGATTCCGATATTTTGGTAATTTATAGTCAACAGTGGTCACAGCTTCTAGTCACTCAGGCCTGGGTTGTTGGGAGTGAGAGGACTGTGACTAAATGCTTATAGAACAGTTTAACTAAACGCTATATTATTCGTCACCCAACTTTCACTGCCATGGACCCCTCTCCTAGCCCCACACAAAGGGTATGGAATCATATTCTCCTCTACCTCATCAAACTTCTCAGTATATTTTGGCAGAAGGAAAGCTCAAATGGAGAGAGATGGTAAGCAGTGGCTGAGGAGTAGCAGCTCCCAGGAGCACTCTTGATGTTGCAATCTTTGAGTGATTCTCGGGCTCCATGGCGCAGCTGGACAGACAGATGTGTACAGATGGATGGCCGCAGTGGTGGAGCTGCAGTGCCCAGCGGAAGCAGCAATGTCCAGCACTTCAGAAGTAGCACTGCCTTGCCTGGGCGGCACTGGTGCCCTCTGGGGTGAAGCTGCTGGGCCTCCAGCAACAGTGATAAAGTCTCCAGCAACCTGCAGGGAAAGGCTTTAAAGAAGACACCCTGGAAACTCTTAGAACAATTCAGGAGGCTGGCCAGTGTCGAGAGGTGCTGCATCCGCTGAGGTGAACAACAGTGCTGTGGGATGTAAGTTGTTACAAGTATCAGATCCACAGACCTTATGTACTGAGCCACACCACTTTTGGACTCTGGAAAATTTATAATACATCTAGCATTGTGGGTTTCTTCCCTTTGTCCTTGAGACAGGTGGAGCGATTCTGAAGCAGCTGAAATCGCCCACCATCTTCGCTTGTTCATAAGGCCAATCTTGCTTGAGAGAATTTTGTTCATTATTTCCATTGCCCATCGAGCACATGGCAAAAAACATGTATTTAGAAATGTTATTTATGCTAAGCAAGGAGGCAAGTGTATACTCTGAGTGTCACTTACATTGAGCTTTGTTTTGAGTTTGTATCTTTCCATGCAAAGATGACCTCAGTGACAGCACTGTGACTCACATACACACCCGTACTAAAGAAGTTGCCCTGTGGCCTCTAGTTGTTACAGTGTTGCTGACTGGCTTTGGAAAAAGTTAATGACTTTACCAAATAGCATTAAATTTAATGATCATACTGTCAATAAAGAGAATAATTATTAATGTCATTAAAAGTAAATAACATAAAAGGCTATGGCAGACTCAGCCATAGCATCTGAGCATTGGCATACCTTTTACCCAGGTAGACCAGTGCAATTTTATTCAAATACAGTGATGTGTCATGTGGTTGTTATGAATGCAGTTGATTAGATATTTCTGGCTTTCTGCCTTCTGGCTTCGTGGTGGGACTGCATTTCTTGCTCCTTTTCTTCTGACTGAGCTGGTACCAGGTAACTAGTGTTGGCCAATGAGTTGTGAGTAAAAGTGATGCATGTTACTACCATACTATCATATTAAATTGCTGGTACAAAACCATTCAAAGATCTCTTTCCTTTTGCCAGTAATGACCAGGCAGGGACTGCCTCATTGGGCTAGATCCTTCAGTGAGGATGATACAGCACAAAACCCACAGCCAAGCCACAAGGGATGTATACTATGAGTGAGAAATAAATCTTTGTTCTAGGCCACTGATATTTGGGAGGACAGGACTGTCACCATAGCACAACCTCCCTCACACTGAATGATGCATGATGCTGGGACTTACAACCCAGTCACCTCTCTCCTTTCAGTGAAAGCCCCAGAACAGCTCCAAATTCTGTAAAGCAGAATTCAGAATCTTTTATTTTCACTCTTGCATCTACGTCTAATTTCCACTGACCACACTGTAGTTGCCTAGATATTAGAGGGTCTGGGAAATTTCCCATTTTCAGTTTTGATCTACCCTACATATCCACTGGTAAGGGAGCATGCATTTAAAGATGACAGAGACCCTGGAGCACATTCAGACCACTGATGTTACAACCTTGAATTATACCTCCATTTGCATAATGATATCTTGCTAGGACACAGTGATTTCTATTTACTTCACATAGATTATCTCATTCAACGGGCTGATAGTTTTAATCTGACTGGTTTGGTTTTCCTTACAAAGGGAAAGATCACAAAGCCCTTTGGTGTAAAAAGGCAGAATCCTTCCAGATCTTTGGTCCCTCCACATGGTTCCAAGCCCATGCTTAAATGCAGGGTGGGGTAATGATACCAGACACTGCAACCCAGGGCCCAGCGAGGGATCACTATGTTGTAGTATTTGGAAATCACTGGTGATGTACACTCATCCCAAACCTGACCCCAACCTCCTCCTCCTAACCAGGTATGTAGTCCAATTTAATCTCTCATAACATTCATGAGCAAAATGAAAATGTATATACTTTTGTCCCTAAGCTAAAGAGCTCACTTAAGAGATTCATGATACAGGCAGGACGTGGTGGCTCACACCTGTAATCCCAGCACTTTGGGATGCCGAGGCGGGCAGATCACCTGAGGTCAAGAGTTCGAGAACAGCCTGGCCAACATGGTGAAACCCTGTCTCTACTAAAAATACAAAAATTAGCTGGGCATGGTAGCGTGTGCCTGTAATTCCAGCTACTTGGGAGGCTGGGGTAGGAGAATCACTTGAACCCGGGAGGCAGAAGTTGCAGTGAGCTGAGGTAGAACCACTGCACTGTAGCCTGGGCAACATAGCAAGATTCTGTCTCAAAAAAAAAAAAAAAAAAAAGAGAGAGAGAGAGAGAGATTCATGATACAATCCTAGAATCTGGAATTAATCTGATTCAGTAATTTACAAATACTGGTCCACATGCTGCAAGTGCAATTTCTTCTTTCTTTTGCATTCTTCCTTGCTTCCTCCCTCTGTTCTCCAGTAACTATTCACCTCTTCCTTTCTTGCCTTGCTTCTTCTCTTCATTCCTGTTATTCATATTATGGAATATAGTTTTCTGGGCCACAGCATGATTTGAAACATGAGAGGTTGATCCACTTTCCCACCTAGCGCAATGTCTCTTTCACAGGATTCTTTACAATTATTTGGCCTTTGTTTGAAGTGTTCAGTACTCCTAGGTTTTTAAAGGAACCCATTCTACTTGATATTTTTAGTAGTTAGATAGTTTTCCAGTTTTTAATATCAACAAATTGGCAAAAGCAAGCAGCTATTCTGTGTGAGACTCATCTGCCAAGTAACCTCAGTATGTCACTTTCCAGGAGCAAATAGCTCATGCATCTCCCACTCCCAACTAATGATTCTCTGATTTTTAAAAACCACAAGGGCTCAATGTCTGAGACCACTCCTAAGGGTTTTAGTATGCATTTTGCATTTCAATAAACTAATAGGAAGTAGGCTCCAAATTGGATGTGGTATGCAAGCGAGGGCAAGTTTTGAAGTTCTAAGAGTGAAACAGTTGGCAGCTGTTCTCTGAAGTTCTCTGCTTCATTTCAGAAAGGACTTTTGGATGGCCTGTGACCATACAATTCCACCAGATGATCTGCTCACTGGCCTGCAAACACCCTGGCCTCTCCATCCTCAATATTTAGCACCTGCTGTTCCCTGTGCCTACAACTTTCCAGAACTTTTCCTGTATTATTCATCTGGGCTTCTGCCTTATATTAGAATTGTCAAGCCTCTGAGCCCAAGCCTGCACGTATACATCCAGATGGCCTGAGGCAATCAAAAACAACAAAAGAAGTGAAACAGCCAGCTCCTGTCTTAACTGATTGACCAACCTTACGACATTCCATTATGACTTGTTCCTTCCCTGCCCCAACTGATTGATTGATCGATCTCATGACATTCTTCTTCTGTACAATGAGTCTCATGATCTCCCTACCATGTACCTTATGACCCCTTCCTCTGCTAACAATAGATAACCACCTTTTACTATAATTTTCCATTACCTACCCAACTCCTATAAAGCAATCCCTTCCCCATCTCCCTTAGTGGACTCTCTTTTCGGACTCAGCCCACTTGCACCTAAGTGAAATAAATAGCCTTGTTGCTCACACAAAGCCTGTTGGTCTCTTCACACAGATACGCTTGACAAGAATATCGACATTTTTGCCTTCACTTCCTATTCAACTTCATAGCAATACTAAATTCTTATCAACATGAAAGCAAGAACTACATGTGACTTATTTTTTTTTTCAATCTTCATCCAATTTCCAGCACAGTGCCTTGGGTTCAAAATGGGCTTTCAGGGCAGGGTAGGTGTCTCATGCCTGTAATCCTGGCACTTTGGGAGGCTGAAGTGAGATGATCTCTTGAGGCCAGGAGTTTGAGAACTATGTGGGCAACATAGCAAGACCCTGTCTTTACAAAACATTAAAAAAAACATAGCCACACACCTGTAGTTTTATATACTTGGGAGACTGAGAAAGGAGGATTGATTGAGCCCAGGAGTTGGAGGCTGCAGTGAGCTATGATCATACCACTGAACTCCAGCCTGGGTAACAGAGCAAGTTCCTGTCTCTTAAAATAAAAATAAATGGGCTTGCAGTACCAGAAAAAAAAAAAGGGTCATTACAATTTGTGACCTAATTCATTCAAAAGGGAGGTCACTCACAATAGGAATTTCACACAAAAGAAGGAAGCACCCCATCACACATTGTAATTGAAAACTGTGGCTCAAGAATCAGCCTGGACAGTTTGCCCTTCTAAAGCAGAAATGTTTAGGCAGAGAGGACAAGCTGACTGAAGAGGCAAAAAGGACTGCTGAGGAGTGATGGAGGAGGAAGATATGTAGGAACTTCCCTGAAGCTCTTATGTCACTGACTTGCCAATAAATTGGTTTAAACAACAATAACAACAACAACAAAAGCAACATGTCCAGGCCTAAATCTGATCCTTCCCCGAGACAGACAGTCACACCAGCCTATAGGCCAGGAGGCCCATTCTGTGCCCTCTGGTATGACCTTGTAGGGCAGGATCAGCAACGAAATCCCGGCTAGAGGAAACAAAGACCATGTGTAAACAGTTCACCTCCACTCCTGAACTACAACACTGTTTGACATAGTTTAAGAGTGACGTTGACCTTCTTCTACTGGCTCTGGGGCTAGCCAGGGAAAACAGCAAGACAGGAATGAAAGGAATGAGAGTTAGCAGCTTACTGATCTGCAAGATGTCCTTGAGGGGGTTTGGGGTTGGTGCAATGGTGAGGGCAGCCAGGGAAGCTCCCAGGCCTATTGTTTTCTGCCAGTGCCCCTGCTAATCGCTCAGAAAACTCCCCTGAGCCACATGCAGAGATGAAGTAGGTAAAAAATCATCAACATCTCTGGATAAGGCAGTTTTGCCACTGAAGGTGTTATTTTTTTTACAATTGTCTAGTTTAATATCTCTTTGGTAAGGAAGGATGTGCAAGGAGTGGCAGGAAACTTTACCTAATGGTGGGAGGACAGGGTGAGTGTTTGTGTTTGTGTGTGTGTACATATCCACCACCCCCAACACACAAGCCCCTTGAGAGCTTCCTCACCTCTCATTTTCCTTTTCAGAAAGTTCTAGACCCATGAATAGCACATTATGCTATGTTGCTTTATTGTATCACTGTCTATAATGACATAATTCACATACTACCTTAATCTTATAGTAGTTCAGGATAAAGCTTTTTCTTCCTAAATAGTTGTCAATATCTGGAAAGCTTTACAGCCTTTTCCAGATCTTTTGTGCCCTTTCAGGCATGGCATAGTTCTGGGCATATGGGGACTATTCAGCGGATATTTGTGAATAGGCTCATTAGGCAACTTTCTTACCTGATATTGATAGAATTCTATAATTTTCACTACACTATGACGTTGAAATGAATCCTAAGGGCTTATAGCCAAATCGGGAGACTGTGCACAGCAGCCTACTTCTCAGGGCATTCTGTGTATGCGTATAAAT